TGTGACTCCACAACAAATATGGTTGATTTTTTTTTATATAAATCTTGTTCTACATTTAAGTGGGCTTACATCTGTAACCAAAACAATTCTGTTTCTTGAGACACTAAAACAATGTTGCTCTCATTGATAGTATTAGTCATGTTTTTTTATTACTTTTTTTAAGAAATCGCTTATCTATAGATGCAGAATTGAAGTGTTAAGACACATTAAAGTTCATTAAACAAATTAAACCATCAATATTAATACCCACAGAATGAGTAGTGACAAAAAACTCACTCATTTATAGTATATAATGTCAGATTTATAATATTTTAGCAACTAATAATTATTATATAACTACAAAACTACCACCCAGATTCCCATACAGGTCTAGAAATTTTTCTCCGCTGTGCAGATTGACGTGAGCCACTTGATATCCTGGAACTTGCAACACTCAGCGAATCTCCAATCATCAGACTTGACTCACTGGGAGAACGTGAAAAATGGGAGACACTCGATGTTGTACTCTTAGCACTAGAAGGTCGACTTCTTGAGGCTGTTTTTGAGTACTGTTTTTGTTTTAAGTGGTCTTTGAGTAAAGAGTCTCTTGACAAACTTCTTGTTGGTCTGATGGCTTCAAGTCTTTGCAGCAATTTCTTAAGAAGGAAGAAGAAAGAAAAATAATCAGTTTTAGTATATAAATTTGAGGTTCTTACTGCCTTGATATTGCTTGCATTCCTATAACATACTTTTTTAGTTATGGTGGTTGTAATGATAACCCAATGCATTGAGAAATGCTGATATCCTTCCCAAGATATGAATATTAACATTTGACAAAGAGATAACAATATTGCAACACAATAATATTATACACTGTATGCTACATTAAAATCATTTGAAATCATTGTCTTTATCATTTTTTAACCAACCACTGCATTTTAGCCATAATTTGTGATTTACAATGAAAACAAGGAAATGAAAAATTAGCCATCCTTGCTTCTCATCTTATTCTGACAGATGGTAGACAAGATGGGGAACAAAGGTATGCTCATAATTTATTTGTCACTTGTCAGCTGTGCAGTATTGGGCATAACTAAGCACAGGAAACTAGTCTTGACTAGTTTCGCAGAGTATTGTGCATGGTACAGTGGTCCTTGCATGTATTGCAGTCTGTATTTTTGGTCTGCAAGACACTGGCAAATCTCGATATTTTGCGATAACTGAGTTCAATCATTGTTTTATTATTCGATCACTGAGTTGGTTTTTTTAATGAATATCCTCGGGAAGCAAAGCGATTTGCCATTTCCATGAGCGATCGCAAGAAGGAGAAAAGCATGGTTTCATTAACGCATGAGAAGAGTAATTTATTATTTGCAGCCAAAGAATTAGTTAGATGACATTGCACATTAGCAGACCATTATTTGTAGGCAGTTATTTGCAGGTCACTTGGTGGGCTCTTGGCCAATGAAAAGGAAAAAAATTGGCAATGAATGATAATTTGTATTGTTACAATCCTACATATTTTACTTTGAGTGCAATTAACTTAACCCCTAGACGTCTTTGATCGTCTGATAGGTTTTCCTCCAGTTTGCCTGATTTGTCCTTTGTAAATCAAAAAGAGAACATTAACAGGGACACCCAACGACTGTTTTCTGTAAAATATCTGTTCGGAGAAGCAAATATTACCTAGAATTTTCTTTGACTTGAGGATGGCTAAAAAGGTCTAGATGACCATGTATTCATATACAATTTTCGAAGGTAATATATCCCCTACAATTTTCTGAATTTTGATTTTTCACAATTCATTCCCCAGTTAAGGCGATTTTTTGTTGAAAAAAGGAGACCAAAAATATATGGATTAAAAATTGTGATAGAGAGAAAAATCAGAAAAATTCTCACTTTCGTAATACATTAAATTGCATCTAAAAGTTTCGGGAAAAGAATGCTGAAGCCCCTGTAATTTCGAAAAGGCTCAAGTTCCCCTAGGATGACCGAACAGATACAAATTTCACAGCACCACTTAGAATGCATTTCTAGAGATCTTAAAGTACTCGGGATGGCCTAAAAAGTGTTTTCAATGTGGTAGGAGGAAACCGTCGCTGGGTGCCCCTGATATTAATTTAGATCAGGCCCCAGTTGTTCAAATGTTTGATAGCGCTATCCACCGGATAAATTGCTATCCAGTGGATAAGTATTTGGGAAACCAATTGCACTATCCACTGGATAGAGATTGTGTAGTTCCAGAAAATATCCAGACCCCCACCACGGAGGGAATTTCACTTAGGACCCCCCACCTCCCTGGATTTTCCATTTTTGCAGGGAACTGATGACCCCCCACCCCCTCGGAATTTCCACAAGTGTGACAAAGACCCCCCAAACCCTCTGGAAAAGTTCATTTTCACGAAGAAAGACTATTAAAGTTGAAGAATGCATCCATTTATGGTTAGTACGCAACGGTTTCCATCAGAAGCTTGTATACTTCTGTTGCCATTTATTGGAGCGATCTCGCAACATTAAAACACACTACACAACCACAAAGTAACCTGATCCGCAATTTTTGCTCATCTCTTACTTTAAATGAAACAGAGAAAGTTAATAAGTCCGTTATATTTGTGAATTTACCTTAATCAGGGCAAGCTTACGATTTGTTATTCGTCTTCATGGGCGTAATGTTGATAGAATTAACGCCATTTCGTGTGGGATGCAGAACAAGTCAAACTTACCACCACAAAATTAATGCTTAAACAAATAGAAGAATAAAAACTCTGAACTCTAAAATGATGGCAATGAATACCCCCTGCATCTTGAAGGGAAACCAAGTTCAATTTACTGTTTTTCGATCAACTGATGCGACATGATGCGCGATGGCCGTATAAATGTTTGGTGAAATCGACAGCATTTCAGCGAGGATTCGATCATGAACTTGCCACACCTTCAACCACAAGATTAAGGGAAAATGAAAAGGAGAATAAAAACTCTACATTTTAAAATGGTTACAATGTATAGCTTGTTCATCGTGAGGCAAAATTCCCACTCTACTGATCGCTCGACTGACGCAACGTGATGTGTTGCACGCGTTGATGTTTTGAGGGAGACTGGTAATGAGTAATGGCGGCTGAATACACGAGCATGCGATAAAACGAGTTGTAGTTGGTCTAATTCCTTTGAAATTACATCCAAAACGCTTTTGGAAGAAAAGAAACCTGGTTAAGATCAAAAGGAACAATCTTAAGTGATATATTTCAAGTTATTTATGTCCTAAAAATGATCTACCAGGTCGGTAAGAAGCAATGTTCAAACTCAGGTCGAAAACGAAGTGATATTGACCCCCTGGAAAGAGATTTTATGGTCCAACCCCCCTCCATTCTGGAATTTCCTGGGCCTCTGACCCCCCCCCCCCCCCCCCCCTGGAATTTCCAATTCCCTCCGTGGTGGGGGTCTGGGTATTTTCTGGAACCACACATTTATCCACCAGCATTGTTCAATCTAGGCCGCGTTTTTGCATCATTTACGCAGAATATTCTATTCTGACGCAAAATGAAATGATCGTGGGGTCATACTGACGCAAAAAAAGCAGCAAACAAAAACCCCCCAAAATAAGTTTTCTCGTATATAAGTACTTCCAAAGCAGCAGGCAATAATAAAAGTAAATTTAAAAAGAAATATGTGTGCTTACTAGCCTTATATGAACGCGCGAAGTCGCGAAATAACTGGTGTTTCAGACTACGTTTGTGTCAGGCGTTCCAATTCCGAGAGAGACTGGACGCTACTACGACGTTCTGCAACGTTGCCGATCGATTCACGCTTCGTTCGTTGACTTTGTTCAGGGTGTGTTCTTGTGTCTGCCAGTTTTTCGAAGTTTATTATTATCATAATAATTTGACCCAGACCATTTTTGAAACGACCCAATTTAAAATGTCACGTGGGACATTTGACCCACTTTCCATAATTTCTAGATTGAACACTGCACCAGATAGCACTATCCACCTTTTGAACAACTGGGCACAGGAGTTACTTGGGGCTGCCTAATTATTGGCTAAAATAGTAGTTAGTCAGGGCTTCGGATAGAAAATATTATACAGTGTAAATAATATTTTATACAACTGTTTTAAGGTGATTTTACGTAACACATGAATCTTCTTGGGTTCCGTATATATAATAATATGATAGGGTGTAATCTAGAGGGTAAATTCACTATCTCACTTACACTGTAAACTTTAAAAACTTAACCATATAGTAACTATTAAAAAAACTATAGCTTCACACAAGACCCTGAACACACTGCTGGCTAACTTTATCTGCAATTCAAAAATTTTTTAAATTTGCCATGGCAAAAATAGTTGGAGCAAGGAGCACTGGTAACATACAGAAGGAAGCAAGACAAGCAACGGCCCTTATGTGATTACGTCAGATGAGCAAATTTCACCACCAAGCCTTGTTAGTGAGCAAAATTCTTTGCATTTGCACTCTTAGTGCATGGGTTTTCTTTTCAACTGTACTGCCTTGGGAATTCATTTATGTAAAACTTTGCGACTTTATATTTTGAAAATGGGACTTGGTGGTGAAATTTACTTTCCTGATGTAAACATGCAGAAGGGCTATTTCTGAACTTTGATATGCTAATGAGATTATACATGTAGCAACCAAGAAGACCAGTATGCATCTACATGTACACAAGCCCTATGGAGCTAGTGATAGAAAATTATCACATATGTGTTGGTCAGAATAAGAGATTGCCCTGGGAGAGGAAAAACAAGGGAATTAGTTATAATTTAAAACCCTTTTTGTCTTGTTCAAGTGAGTCTATTGCTCTCCAGCTAGGTGTTTTTGTACTGCATTAACGACTCACAGAAGAGCACTTATCAGCTTGTTTCACAATGAAAACAAAATTGGTGTACACGCCCAAGTTCACGTTTTAGGGACAGCATGAAAATAAAGGCTGGTTTGTTAAGTGGCTGAAACATTCTTTGTGTATTTTGAGGCATTTATTCCACAGACTGCTGAAAAAGCGTCAGTGATGTATTATTCATCGCTTTGAAAAGTAATTACACTGTAGACTGTATACTTTTCAAACAATTTAAGAAAACAAAGTAATAATGCCTTGATGGAAGATTACTTTACAGATCTTCTGTAAGTATATATTAAAATCAACTAGACTCGATTCATTTTCGACCCCTCAATTCAGAAGTTGCTTATGATATTATTATTAAAGCTTTTTTTCTTACCTGGTTTTCCATGTCAACTTTCCTTTGAAACCTGAATCTATTCACTTCAGACGATGTTTGCACCCTCAATGGTTCTGAGACAGCTTTTTTCGGTTGCGCCGTCTTCGGCCTTCCTCTTGTTCTTGTAATTACTTTTAACAGTCTCTGGTTTTCTCTATCAATAGCGTCAACCGTTGTGTTACTGAACGACATATTTTTGCGTTCAAGAGGCGCCGGGCGCCTTGATTCGTTTAGATTTACAGCACTTCTAGGCCTTGATCTAGATGCTGTAGACACTGATGAATGTCTTGAAGCTGTGTCGTCGAAATCTTTGACCCCTCTTGCATCGTCCCAATAACCCTTCGAAGTTAACTTCACTCGGGTTTCTGCTACATCTTCCATTTTTCGTTCAGTTGTGTCTCCTTGTTTTTCATTCAATTTCTCGTTAATATCTAGGACAGCCTGAAGAAGCAGGTTAAGATCTATTTGATCAGAGTTTGGGTGAAGAAAATGTTCCCTCTTTAGCCGATCATCAGTTCTATCGTGACAAGTATTCCCCGTTGAATTTCGACGATGTGTTTTCGCGGACGCCATGTTTCTCTCTCGAAGCCGTTTTCATCTGTGTGACGTCATGTTGCTACGGAAACAAGTAACATCGAAGAAATCGAATCGTGGGCGCATGAAAATATTTTGGTCCCAGTTCTCTCTCATAAACAATTTATTTGAATATGCAATTCCACTACTAATAATTCAGCGGTTTCTCGTTGAAGAGTCACCCAGTGGAAGAATTTCTTCGTGGCATGGAAGCAAAGTTGAAAGAAAATGGCTGGTAGGGGTTTTTTTGCAAAGCTGTAGCAATTTATTTCGTTCTTTTTTCCCCTTTGTAATCGACGTTCAACATCGCTTTGAATTTTCTTACCCCGCACGCTTGATTTTTCTATGCTCATTTCGGTGATAAATTTTCAGAAGTTGCGGTTTTTCGCGTCATCCACCTCAATCTAGAAGGTGTTCGTTTCGTTTTGAAAACTGTTCCAGTTTGTTTCGATGAAACGATCGTTTTTAATTGCAGGTTTCTCTCCTCCGAAGGAATTGCAGAGTGCGAAAGGGTTTGCAACAAAGACAAGCCATCGTTGCAGGAGATGTCGAGGGCAGCCCTAAATGTGAGTATTACACAAAACGCGACTTTTGACATTTTACAATCAAGGTTTCTTCTCGCGGTATATTTCTACCCCGTCGCCGATAAATAGCTCCACATTTTCGATCCTTGTACTGTACAATTTAGCCATTAAACGGCGTGAAACTAACTTTACTTGTCGGTGAAGCTGTTTTCCACTGCTCATTAAATATGAACATTTTAAAGTTTAATGCCTCTGTGAATCAGCTTATGACGGGATATCCGATTGACTATTGTTTTGGTTTCGTTTAATTGATTTTTTGATGGAGTTTGCCTCCATCTCCCGCCGATCGTATATCATAACTTCATCATGCTTTTAAGCACGCTTAAAGTAATGACAGAATAAAACGCTTGTAAAGCTCAGGTATTTTTTCTTTCAATTATCTATTAATCGTTCCATAACCTACCATAATGAGAGCGGATTTTAATTGAGTGCTGTAAAACCGCAACAAACTGATTTCCATGGCCAGTTGAGTAGCACTTAAAAAATTAAATGAACATTCCATGAATTCAGTGATGAAAGCTCTCAGATGTAGTCAGCATCAATGGGTGAAAAAGTAGGGAGTAATGTTTAAGGTAAAATATTAACATAGTACTAAGAACACAAGTTGGATCTGATTGTCTGTAGGGGTGTTGTCATGAACATGAGAGGTGATTATTGGGGTCATTTTAACCGATATCCAGAAGTATAACAATAGCTGGAATACTATTTGTTGCAACAGTATTGTACTATCACACTAGTCTTGTACTATTGCAGTAGTAGAACTATGGTGTTGCAATATTGTTATTTGTAACCTTTGGTGTTGCAATACTGTTATTTGTGGTAAATGGGTAAAAAGTTGTGAGATGTTCCAAATTTTCAAGTGGAAAGTACTTCCAGTGGGGATTTTGGGTATTGGAAGTCACATAATTACATGTATGGCTGAAAAGCTGCAGCAGTAAACATCACGTTTAATTTTATGATTTAGGTTCTGTAATGGTGGTCATCTTAAAAAAGAAAAACAGTAAGCTTAAGTCTGCACATTAATTTTGGTGGCATGTAGCGGCCATCATGGTAGGCTGAAAGAATGTAATCTAACACGAACGCTAAGTGTTTTCTTTGGATTGTGCTTGCTGTCTATTGATATCTTACCTGGAAGCAAATGGCTACACCTTCAAAATTTTTTTGGAGTTCGACTTTGTGAGAAAGCATGAGAAATCAGTTGCCAACTAGTGAGAGCATGAGATAGGTTGTGAAATGGTGAGACTCATGGCAAAGTTGTGAGACTTCATGTCAAGTCTGGTGAGAAAGTTCCATTAGCTATCATTTTTGTAACTCCGAATATACTGGTTATACCTTTTACTAAAGTAAAGTGAGTCCATTTTCACATTTATGGCTCTAATATTTGGCTTTGATTTCAAAACAAAGTACAAACCAGGCACCTGCAAGCTAGGCAGTAAAAAAAATGAGGCCTTTTTTTGGCACAGAAGAGGACTTCAAGAGATTGTCAAAATACACTGATAGGTTCATGTATTGTTTCTTCCTTCGTAATATAGCCTCTGTGGCAAGCATCAAAAAAGGGGTGGGGATTGATTGGAAGAAAGGAACTAAAGGAGGGAGTAGGGGAAGAGAGGGAGAGGAATACCTGCTATAAGGGCTCCCTTAGCCTGCGAAAACAGTTGTTTCTCCTTGCTCTTCGCCGCTGAGGATGTTTCACGAGGAGGAATGTCTGCGACTGTGCGACAGAAATTCCATACTAATGATGTAAATCAATGTTTCTATAATAAATCCGGTAGTCATGGGGTTCCAAAATTAATGTAATTTTGTTCAATTTTACATTTCTCCTGGTCGATTTTGGTAAAGTGTTGTGTTCATCTGCAAACGAGCTCCAGTAAAACTCAAATGCTTCTTCTAGAGAAGAATATATCCCACAAAGATTGACTTACTTGTTATAGATTCATCGTGTTGACATTTGACCTTTGTAGCCTTTTGTCTTTTGTCTGTCATTCGTAAACAATAGCTAAAACAATGTAACTACTCCATAGTCCAATCAGCGCTTATGACCAGATTCTGAAACAATTTTACGTCATCAGTATGGACTGAGTCGCAGATGTTCCTCCTTGCGAAACGTCCCCAGCAGCGATGAGTGAGGAGAAACGGCTGTTTTCACAGGCTAGGGCTCCCTTTTTGTTCATTTTTCTGATTGGTTGAGCCAAACTGATCATTGTTTCCAGACATAACAAATCAATGACATCAATGAAATCAATGAGTAATCAATAGGTAATCGATGGGTAATCGGTTGATTAGTCATTCATTATATACGATATTCAATGAGTAATCGGTGAATAATCAATAGGCCACAAAATTTTCAGTCATTGATTAATAATTATCGATATAATCTCGTGGGTACACAAACCATACCAAATCGAAAATAAACAAACAAAGACTTCTTTGACATAAATATCATGATACAAGCTTTATTTATTCATGATCTTTTACCCGGTGAGCACTCTGCTGTGGCTGCATTTCTCAATGCAGATACAGACTCTACTAGCCAAGAGACTAAGACGGATAACTCGACCTTCTGAACATTTCATTTTCATCATGGCCAATATAATTATATTGGTTTTCTACACGCAAGTTCAATTTCTATTTGGCTATTATTATAGTCAAGAACCATTAACGTAAATTTTTATCAGTGGAAATAAGTTAAGAAAAAAATTGCGAGAAATTGTATGAGATGTGTAATCAATGACTCACTGATGGATAATCATTATATAATTGATGAGTAATCGAATGCATCAATTACTCATCGATGGCATCAATGAGTATAAATCAGTGACATCAATGAGTAATCAATAGCTCACAAAATTTTTGGCTATTGATTAGTTTTCGATTACCCATTGATTATAGTGAACAATCAATGACTAGTTATAATTAGTTGATTACTTAATGATTACTCATCAATATTGCTCATTGATGTCATTCATCAGCAGTTAGTTACGTCTCTTTGTTTGTCGTGTTTGTTGAGCAACAGCAGTAAAACTGCTCTGTTTTGCTCACAATAATTATTATGATTTTATTTGAAAAGAGGCATCTAAACATGACAATTTGCCATAATTAAAGTAACACATCTGGAGTTTGGCCCATGCTGAAAAGTGCTCCTTACTTTTGAGTAGTTACGTATTTAAAGTTGACGTTATCAGGTTTAAAGTTGGGAAATTGGTGGGTGGAATGCAAAAACACAGGCTCTTATAACAGGCACTCTCCTTGCCTGTGTGACTGGCATTGAATTGGGGAGGGGAAAAAGAAGGAAAGTGGAGAGAGGATTGAGGAGACAAGAAATCCTACAGACTTTTCTCGTTTTGTGCTTTTCCTTCCTTCTCCTTTCCTTTTTTTTGTACCAGGCATGTAAGCTATTGCCCTCTCTCCCTTCTCCCTCTGCGCTTCTCCCCAACCCCCCCTTCTACCTTTGTTTGCAAAGGATGGTCACAAAATGTTGTGGACAGGTTGTAAAAAAGTGATACCCTTGTCACCAACACTTACCTACATGTACATGTATACTGGTGTTAGATACAGTTGAACTGCCACAACGGCCATCTCTCTACAACAGCCACCTCTCCAATGGCCACTTTTTTTGGCCGACAGTCTATACAGTCAGTCTTGTTTCAACCTCTCTACAGTGGCCACTTTCTTCTGTTCCCAAAGTGGTTGTTGCAGAGAGGTTCAACTGTAATGAGAAAAAATTCTCAGACTGCCAGCTTCTTTCTTTGTACATCATGAATCTGCATGTGTTCGTGTAGTGAAAGAATATACATGTATATGTTACAGGTCAATTGATTCTCAATTTCCTCTGTCTCCTGGCCCCAATTCTTGAATAATTAGGACTACAGCTGTAGGAGACAAAGGAAATAGAGAATCAACCTACTCGGTAGGTTAAAAAAATTTTAACCTGTATTCCGGACTTTTTGTTGCCCCAAATGGAAGCTTACAGGGTCATACAGATATGTGAGAGTTTTATCACTAAGAAAGCCATGCAAGACCAGTAGTAGTGTAGTGTGACAGATGAATAGGCACTTTTGAGGTCAATCTTTGTGAGATATGCATTACTTTTGATAAGTGATACCGCCTTGTCAACAGTCACTTAGGAGTAATGTTGTTGCGTGTCAGGGTATGAATTAACATTGCTATCTTGCAGTCTGCTGTAGTCGTGGATAAGATGGATTTTGTCACTGTCCGGTTTCGGTATTAATCCTAGTGAGCTTACTATAGTGGGTTATTCAGTTGTAATAATGTAGTTGCCATGTTGAATTTCTTCCTGCATTGCCTTTTCAACTTTGTTGCAAACATCGTCTCCAGTTGTCGATTTGTAATTCGTCACTTCTTCAGGTCGTAGGTTGGAATCATGGGATACAATACAAAAGCCATCCTTTAGCCCTCTCAATAAAAAGTCACAGTCAGGATCATTTGTCAGATTCTCTGTCCAAGCATCAATGTTTTTGGTTAGCGAAGATAGGTGTAGAAATGTAGGGGATCCGAGTCAGGTGTGTTGAGTTGACATCGTTGTCTGATGCTCTTGTTGTGGGTGGGGCTGAGAAAAATAAAATTTGCCACGAGGCATACATGTACATGCTGAAAGCAGCATTAAGGCCAGTTACAGCCGGACAATGAGTTAAACTGCCAGCAGATTGGTTTTATAAGACAAGACTGCTGCTCAGAATTTGATCGTATAGTGGGGTGGTATAAGGCCTACCCAGGTTCTGGTTGAACTGATTCACTGCACGAGGTTTTAAGAGAAACCATGTTAGGAGATGCTGCGAATCGCTGCCCTAGCGAGAGCCATAATGGTGCTGAAGTTTGCAATATTCGTTGTCCTACATGACAACAGAGACAAGGGATTCTAAGAGTTCCGCTACTTTTACATTATATGAATGGTAATCTGCAATTTGGCCATGCCAGAAAGTTTTCCTGTGTTTGTCAATTTGAGCATAATTGTTGCATTTGCGGTAACGGCCAGAGATGATGAAATATTTTCTAATTATTGTGGCATGCCCCTGGGGGCATGTCGAATAATACTTGCATCTGTAGAACCACCAATTTCTTGTTCGTTCTCAATGGATCCATTGTAAGTTGCAGTAATTACAAAGTCGGGAATAAGAAAAGGTTTTATCTCACCTCCCTTCTTGTCCTGTATACCAAGGAACACCTGCAGGTTGTTGTGAACCCTCTCGAGGGGCACAATCAATGGCTGTTCTGTGGCTCCGCGGGTGACAGGTGGGTCATTTAATGAAACTCCTGTGATCTTTTTCAGTAGTTCTTCTAAACCGCCATTGTTCGCCAATGTCTTGGTAGTGACAGGTGTTGTTTCGATTGGTCTCGCTGGTCATTCGCTGGTCATTCAGTTTTGCCAAGCGTGAAGCAGGAGTTTCTTTTTTCTGAGGGTAAGGTCCAGCGTGGCAATGTCATCTACGTGGACTTACTTCAAGGCCTCTTGGGAACACAGATCGCTTTTCCCTAGCTCATCAATCGTCTTCTGCTTGAGCCCATAGTCACTACCCCATGTTTTAAAATCAAAGATCGCCATCATAAAAAAATTCCAGTATTGCTTAAGTATGCTAACAACGTACATGTAGAACGCTTGCTCATTGCAAACTGAATGATACAATTGTGCTGAAAGTTCACTTATACATTGCGGGCATAGTGTGGAATTTCCGCTGCAGTTTAATGGTGATAAACAAGTCTATCACCCACTTAAATTATTTTGATGGTAACATATTATATACTAGAAGGTGATGGTTACATTTTGTAATGTTTGTACTGTTTTGACTGGCTATTTATAATATAATATTACTTCGAAATCCATGTACGTATGTGACCGGTCAAACTGAAAATTTCTCAGTAAGCAATGGTCATCTTGATCACACATTTTCAGTTGATGGGCCATTACATGATGATTTTGAATCTTGCAAATGGTCATACTCGACCTTCTCATGAGATGAATCAATTTGGAAGCTTTTAATTAAAAATTCATAAAAATATCAACATTGCAGGCATTCTAAAAAAATTGTTGCCTTGATAAGATAGATTAAGCTATAACTCGAGTTTATATACGTGTAAACCAGTTTTTGACCTGTGATATAAAAATTTAGACGGGAATGTGATGGTTAAAATTTATAATGTTTGTACTGTTTGACTGACCTTTTATAATATTATATTATTTTGAAAGCCATGCATGTACTGTATGTGACCAGTCAAACTGAAAATTGCTCAACAAGCAATGGTCATGTGGTTGCACATTTTCAGTTGACAGGGCCCATTACTAGCCTGAATTTCACCCGATTACTTCGAGTCGTTATTACTCCCTCAGTAACGTCAGGAGAAAACGACTCGAAGCAATCGGATGAATTTCAGGCCAGGCCCATTACATGATTTTTTAACCCTGCATCAATTTGGAAGCTTGTAATTAAAAATTCATAAAAATATCAGCATTGCAAGTATTCTATTTAAAAGAATTGTTGCTTTATTAAAATAGCCAGTTCAATATTGAGCTATAACTGGGGTTTAACCAGAACATGCTACATCACTTGCACATGAGACACCCTGGAAGGTATGGGGTAATGGATTGTTCTTCTGTTTCCAAGGATGTCCAAGTAGGAACATCTGGGGTCACTGATTTTTCTCACTTAATAACATTTACCATTTAATTTTACTGTTGTTTTTTTTTTTTACTTGGAAAGTTGTGAACTTCTGAAATATCTTAGAAAAGACCAATTAATTATCTCAACTTACATGTACAAAGATCAAAACACAAGAGAAAACGACACACTTCATGTAAGTACGTTGCACCATTGCTGTTTGCAGTTCAGTTTTCTCATGCCTGTACTTTTGCTGGTCCTGGACAAGTAGATTTTCTTGCTGGGCATGTACAATACTTTCCCAGTGGGCAAGGATCTAGCTAGGCAAGTCATCATCTTGTAATGTCATAAAATCATTAACTACATTGTAAGATGAGCAAAAAGTGGTCCCGGGCAAGCAAAAATACAATGTATACAGTGAGAGCTGCTTTCCCAAGAGACTAGCTGCAACTCAAGAATTTTTTTGGCCCTGAAGTCTACCGTCATTGACTTGGAATTAAATTAAGGGCACTATGTGACTGTATAATTTCAAGACTCTTGAACAAGAAAAGAAAGAAGCGGATTAAACAATTAATGATTATCTAATATTTTCTTTCTTTGTTGAATTTCTTTGGCAGCTGGACTTGAAACAGTATGGCATCAAACATCTTCCTGATGACATTAACAAGGGCAAAGTGCGGGAGGTATTACGTCCTTTTTCAATCTTTAAATCCAAGCTTATGGCATCCATTCTCTGCTTTGCTTGTTACAGTGTGGTTGGCATTTTCACCTACATGTATTTTTTATCAGGGCTGTGCTCTAAGAGAGCCCAGTGGCCCCTGGCTCCTAACTTTTGCTCTCAGGCACCAAGAATATCTGCAGTTACCTGGAGGTTGTCATGCCCGTAATGTATGATTATTCTAAGAGAAACTTCAATCTGTACTTGTATGGGGTAGTGTTTGTTGTGTTTTTCAGTCAACTTTTGATGTCCTATTGAGTTTTTCTTTGGTCTTATTGATGGAATCCTGCTCAAAGATATTTTTCCCCTGTCAAAGTTGTCTGTGACTATTAACCCTTTATGTCCTAAAGAGTGCAGATCAGCAGAAAATTTCTCTTTCTAATATCAATGTTTTAAAAAATGGAGTGGTCATGAGAATTGCGTACATGATATGGGGAGATGAGTCTTGATTCTTCAACACATTCTCCCCACTACTTCTATTGAAAAATTATAGGGACAGTAAATGAGAATCTCAATTTTGAAATTAGGGTTTAAAGGGTTAACACTGATGATGGTTCAAGGGGTACATGAAGCAAGGAACTGCCTGGGTGGTTATGGGGAGTGCAGCTACAGTGTGCATGAAGGTGTAAATGGGTTAATTGAGCGATAACCAATGGTTTAATGCATGCAATTGGGAATTGCATGCATTTTTAACATCTTGGACTGCACAGAGGTGCTGAGGACATCTATATGGGTTACTTCCATGTAACAGTGAAAATATTTAGGTTGCATTGGGGAAGGGTGTGACTGCTTGCGTATGACACCATGATATAGTGAAACAGGAACAAGTAACTTTTGAGAAAAATAGATCTCTGGGTTTTGAAAGTGCACAATAATGTCTCTCTCTCCAAGTGCCAGAAAAGACTGAGCAAAAGGTCCTGTAAACTCATCTGTTTATGGTTGTTCAGGTCGCTTTGGGAAAAGGTGTGACCATTATGTTTGTGTTTTATTTCTTGTTGTTGTTTTCTCTCTCAGGTCACTGGGCCCATGATCCTTCAGGTGCAGAAGCTACGCAACATTTCTGCTCCAAAAGCAAATGAAGAGTCAATCCATGCACCACGACTGCTAAAAATTCAGCTGACAGACGGCCATTTAACATGCCATGGATTAGAAAATTCATCCATTCCAGACCTCAGGTATGAAGTTACTGTAAGTAAGAAATGGTGATTTTCACAGTTCTATACAATGCAGGGTTAAGTACAGTGGAACCTCGATTTAACGGACTGCCGAGGGACTGGGGAAGTTTGTTTGTTATATCAAACACCTCCATGAACAAATTTTCAGGAAAACTACCAAAATGTTTGTTATAATAGAGGTACAAAGTGTAGTAAAATTTCAGTACCGAGCTATACATACAACTGTAGCTTCTGCACTAGAAATTCAAGAACAGGCAAACAAAACTGCTTAAAACTACCGTACACATATATTTTATCCTTGTCGGTCTGTTTGGCATTCAATTTGTTTTATCACATGCTGACATTTTTTTCATTATATTGAGGTATTTTTAAGTTTGTGCTTGTGGATTTTGTTCGTTACAACGAGGATTTCATTAAATCGAGGTGCGTTAAATCATCAAGGTTCTGTTCCTTACATTATACTGAAATTTTGGCCACGCTGAAGAAAATTGTTTGTTATAGTATACCGAGGTTCCATTTTATTAGGAATTATTTTCAGAGATCAGAGGTAAAAATTTAGGGAAGAAGAATGAATTTAGCCAATAAGTTAAGCTTTCTAAGTAAACAAAACAGCAGAGCCAAGGGAAAATGGCTACAAAGAGAATGAGAGGACTTTTATGAAAAATGGGTGAAAACGTATTATTGCAAGAGAGGGAGAGCAAACAGACTAGTAGACTGTTACTAATAAGTCTGGTTTATAAATAAAATTGTCGTGCTTAGAAATAAGCAAATTGCAAAATTATTTTACAAAGATATAGATATTAATTAAAAAAGAATTTCAATTTATACTAATAATTAGTTTAAATTGAATTTTTTTTTAAATTTATATCTATATCTTTGTAAGGCCCAGTCCATTTTGAACACAATGTAATTATTACATCGTGTTCAAAATGAACTGGGCCTTACAATAATGAGGAGATATAATATGATAAATTAGATAAAAAACTAGAAACTAGAAAAGGCAGGTACAAAAGTCGGACCTGATCAACTCAGACCACCAGTCCGGGTCGGATCAACTAGGATCGACTTGGACCAACTTCGATTGAATAAAAAAATAAAAATGACGTAAAATTGGACTCGGATAAACTCGGATCATAAAAAAAAAACAACTCGGATCATGAAAAGAAAAATAAAATCAGTTGGCATCACATACCTTTCACGCGCCATTTTGTTTTTTTCTCACGAACTCGTGGTTGTGTAATTAAATTTTATTTTTATTTTTATTAATTTTAATGACACACTAGTGAGCAGCACACATACACTTCCAGTGAACATTTTCAACTTGGAAGGAGGAGAAACCATGCTCGCCCGGGACAGCAAAAAATTTCGTACCCAGGGCGAGAATTGAACTCATGACCCTCCGAATACTATATCGGACATTCCAACCACTGAACCGGAGGGTTGCGAGTTCGATTCTCGACTAGGTCGACTAGGGCTTGGAAATTTCCTTTGTCCTGGGCGAGCATGGTTTCTCCTCCTTCCAAGTTGAAAATGTTCACTGGAAATGTATGTGTGCTACTCACTAGTGTATCATTAAAATTAAGTTTCAGAAGTCCTGCAGAAAAAAACAAACAGGAACAAACAAACCAACACATCTTCGGTAACTATCTAAATGCGATCAATAGACCAGGCTTTTGATGCTTTTCTCATAAATAATTCAGTACACTAAAAAATAAGCAAATATATACATTCTAGGTGACTGAAACTATCATTTTCTTTGGAATGAATTAATGGTCGAGATTTTACCTTCCTCGAGGACATCCATATCTGTGTCCTCGAAACAGAACGCGCGCGTCGTGTAACGCAACCATGAGTTCATAACATGATTTGAGAGGAACTGGCACTAGTAAAAGAAAGTGGCGGCTAAAAGCCACCGAGAAAAAAAGGATTATCTGGCCTTTTTAACCCTCCAAATGGGTTAAATTTTGGGTTTGGCTAATTTAATTTATTTATTTTTTGTTGATTCGAGTTGATGCGAGTCCAATTTTATTTTATTTGTGTTTTTTTTATTCGCTCTGACTTGGTCCGAGTCGATCCGAGTTGATCCAACCCGGACTGGCGGTCTGAGTTGATCCGGTCCGACTTTTGTACCTGCCTAACTAGAAATTTATATCAAGTTATACATTGAATTCCCATAAGTTCCTAAATTACATGCCATGAGCGAACATCCTTTACTACATAACTACGTAACTACCGGTACATAACTACGTATGTATGAATCATGCGAAGTAATAAGGAAAAAAGAAGGAGCCACTAACCCTTGGCACACATGATTCATACATGTAGTTATGTAGTAAAGGGTTTTTGCTTAATATTGGGTTCATTTAATACAGGTTTCAGAGAATTAAGCAGGAGTTCTATCATGAAGAGAATTTATTTGAAATTGTAACAATAATTTAAGATTTTCTGCTTCCCTTATGCACTACACATTGGAAAAAACAGTGAACTCAGAAATTGAAAACCTAGCTTGAGATTATGTGTAACGGGCTGCTTAGAAAAAGAATTATAGCAAAAACCAACCAAAATTTTCCAATCAACCTGCCAAAAAATTTGCTTCCTAAGAAGTCCATTAAGGTTCACGAATGATGGCATTTAAACACAAAACCATTAACTGAGCAGAAGATGCATGTTTTTGAAAGATTTAAGAAGAAGCAGGAGCAGTGATTGTTTCTTTTGTTTCTTAACAGCTTATCAATTCCTCCTGGCACCAAGATTTCTTTGACAGGTACCATTACTGTCAAGGAAAACTTTCTGATGCTGGACTCAAATAACACCAAGGTTTTGGGAGGAGAAGTAGAAAAACTAAAAGAAAAGTGGGAATTGAATAAGGTGAGCATTACTTTATCGTGACTTTGTAGGGTGGTAAACTGATACACTGTATACTGCAATCAGCTAGCAGATTACGATACCTTTCAGTCGTCACTCCCAGTTTAAAGAAAAAATGTCTTACCATTACATCACATTGCAGGACAATTAGCAGAGACATTAAAATGTGCAAAAAAGGCAATAATGAAACAGAAAGTTTGCATACACTGTACATCTTTTGAGATGAATCTTGCATCCTTAATAATCTGTACACCCAATTTCACATCAAGAATTTACTCATTTCATTATTTTGGGTAGAGGGTGTAGCTTGTTTTATTTTGTATTTTAATTTGTACTAATTTTTTGTGCACTAATCGAAAGTGGTTGAATATTTTAGGTAAAGTTTCTTTTCTACTTTTTTTGTTGACTTCTGAAGTAAAAGGGGGCAACTTTTGGCAACTCCCTGTATCACTAAAAAAAATTTATTATATAAACACCGATGAAATACCAGGTGAGCTTTCGCACAAAAACATGATATCTTCACATGTGAAAATAACATGTTATCTTCTCATGTGAAAATATCCCCGTTGCTAAGGCCACATAATAAATCGTGCCTTTCACACCAAAAAACTATTAAAGTGAAATGGTTTGGTATTTCATATTATAAGCACAGGCAGGAAATTGTTTTAAGTACATTATTTTACAGAACAATAACAGGACATTGCTGATCCTAGCAGTATGCAGGACGCTTGTCAAATCTGAACCTACTATATGGCCTTGCTCTCCATGAGTTCTCTGTAGCTCAAGTGGATAGAGTGCTCACCCAGTGTTTGGGATGTCATAGGTTCGAACCCTGTCGGGGACTCAGATTATTTTTTTTGTCCCACGCTCGTGACATGCTGATTATTTCATTTTCACAATAATAGCTTATTTTGTTTAACTGTAGACCTTAGCAAAGCATTCACGTATGGCTGTCAGCGGTGATGGGCCTCCTCCATTTGTTCCATTTGGTCAAGGACTGCAGACTGGTATTGATAGCAAGGGAAGATCTTCTGACAGCACAAAAGGTGATTAGCATTCTAATATAGAAAAAAAATTCCACTTATTTGAATAACTCTGGCTTTCCAATAGCCTGCCCACAGACGTTATTCTATTTTTTACCCCAATAATTGGACAGTACACAAGTGGGCAAGGAGTGTGAGAACGAAAAAAAGGAGAGGATCGTCTATTTTCTTTGTTCCGGACTCCTACCACCTTGGGCTTGCTGTGGTTTTTATTTTCATACAGGCTTGATGATCTCTAGAGAGAGAGAGAGAGAAAAAAAAAGGTCTCAGTCATGTTCTACATGTGAGGGGTTCCGGGAAAATAGTACTGTTATATCATGTTATCTCTTTGAGAAAGGTTTTAGATTTCTCTCAACAAGAATTTCATTACATTAATATTTTGCTTAATAGACCTCTTCAGCTTGGTATGTGTTGTGGTTCATTTTTGTCTCTGGTTTGAATTTAATTTTCCTTGTTTCAGACTCATTATCATGTATTAAATGTACATTACACCGGAAAAGTAATACATTTACACCCGGATTTAATTTTTTCTTGTTTCAGATTCATTATCATGCATTAAATGTACATTACACCTGAAAAGTAATAGATTTACACCCGAGATTAATTTGAACCACAACATAAATAGAAAGTGTAACACAAGGGATCCATCCTGACAAGTGGATAAGTCTTGCAGAAATCGATGTTGTTATTGATTGGGGGAGGGACTTATCTAGTGAATAGGGTCATCTTTTAAACGTCTGGGGCGTGGTCTCTGGAGTATACCGTAAATGACCTAATAAACGTCTCCTCTACTATACGCTGTTAAAATTTTATTAGAAGCCCCTCTCTAATAAACGCCCCCTGTCTCATAGACGTCCCCTATGGGAATGACTTCAAAATACTAGGAATTAGCAAGAAGGTGAAAAATCATCCAAATTATTCAGTTTCTTGCTGGATTTACGAGGCTTTGCGTATTTCATCTTGTTCGATGTCAAGTTTAAAGGAAGGATAGACTAACGATGGCAACAGGCCCATTCATACGAGGAAAAATAAGACGCGAACTGTACCATTCTTGACTCGTTTTCATGTGAATTTTGCCCTTAGCAACGGCAATCCAACATGGCGCGCGTTTCAAAGTTACGGCGTCATGTTGCGATTTGCCGCAGAGGCAATATTTTGAAGACCTTTTTAATGAAAATGGAGGAGTCTTCCAGGAGGTCTGCTATTGCCCTCTCCTTGCATAACAACAAAAAATCATTTTCTTCAGCGGTGGACCACGTGTTTCGTTTTTCCTTGGTCGGCGTGCTCATTTTACTTGAGCGAAGAAACAAATAAAGCTTAAAAGTCTAGTTGGCAACTCATGGAAACGAAAACGCTTTGTAATTTGTAAAGAACGTTTCCCTGCCAGTAGCCTGCCAGTCCACCGCGAGGGAAGCGAAAATTTTCCCGCCAAAAATTAACGCATTCGTACTATGCGTTTGCGTCTTACGTAAGACGCGAAGGTCATTTATACGAAGTTTTTCTCCTCTTAGCTAAGACGCCTCCTATCTAAGAAGAGGTGTTAAGGGCTGTTCTAAAATAAGACGCGTCTTAGCTGAGTCGCGTCTTATTTTAGACGAAATGTGCCGTTTATACGGAAAGTTCGCGTCTTATTTAAGACGCGTCTTATTTTTCCTCGTATAAATGGCCCTATTATGGATCTCTGGACGGCCTAGAAGTATCAATTGATAGAGTGGATATTCCGCTATTTGACTTCCTTATAATGCAACTGGATTATTTTCGTACGTCATAGTTAATGGCATAGTTCAAAGTAGCACAGAGAAATCCAGGAACCACCAAAGCAAGGACTCTAACCCGCCATCAAAAGCCAGATCATTCGATAGCAGCAGGAATAACAGACCCACCAATCATGATAACAGGGACAGTGGATACAAGAAAATAAATAACAATAATAACGGGCAAGACAGCAGAGTTGAGGACAGGAAGGGTACAGGTGACAAAACAAATAACAGATTCACAGCTGAAGAAAGACCAAGTGTGACTCATTCAAAAGAAAGAGAGGGTAGATCTGTTAATTCTGAAGCAGCAAACAATGACAGGTCAAGACAGGGCTTTAATCCAACAGATGAAAACAGAAATAACAGCAGAACAGAGCAGAGGAGTGAGAGATCAGAAAAGCCACCATCCAGAACTCAGGTGAGTTTACCCTTTTTATTCGATTAAACGCCGCGGCGTTTATTGAAGTTAATTCAATGGCGGCGTTAATTTTAAAATCACATTTCGTAAATCACTAAAGTCAATTACGGTAAATCATTTGTAAATATTATGTAAAACAGAAAGATATTTAAAGTTCCAATATCGCGCTTTATGGCCGAGAAATAATCGCGATTGTCTGGTTGTTTTAGATTTATAATCCCTTGAACAAACGGCGTATTGTTTTGATTGGGTGTGACATTTATGCGAATTCGGCGTTTATTGATAATTTGTTTCAATCTGCGGCGTTTACTGGAGGGCGGCGTTTAATCGAGTAAATACAGTATTCTTGTTGGTCATCGGATAACTGGTCTGACACTGATGATGTCTTTCCGACAAAGCCAATATAAAAGACTATGTAGGATCTGCATAGTGAATTGCGCGTGTGAATTGTCTTTCCATAGTCTTGATTGGTTTGCTAATGCAAATGTGTAAATACAGTTTTGAAGCTTAACAAGGTCATCATCATTTTTGACAGGAACCGAGCAGGGGTGGTGGGAGGCTGCGAGGCCGTGGTGGAAGGCGTGATTCAGGAGGTAAACTTTTTCACTTAACCCCGCTTGCGTGTTGACCGCTGTCAGATGAGAAAAATTTGCAAATACTAAACTCGGTATTTAAGGCTTTTCTCGTGTTGTCCCTACATCCCAAGTGGGTTGACACGTCGGTAAACCCCTACAAAGTGTGATCCATTGCTTTTATAAAATAACTTGAAGTAAAACGGAGTCTTATAGTGTGATTTCTATACCGCGATCAAGTCGTGTCTTCTCTCTTAAGTCATCATAAACTAATCATGACTCACGATTTATAGCGCCGAATTTTCTCAAAACTCAGTTCATTCAAACAAAGAACAGTAGCACTTCACAAAACGAGTTTTTGCACTCATTACATGAGGACTTATGAAAGATGTTTTACAGAAAAAGTCAACAGATATTCATGTTAATTTACAGTGGAAGAATACGTTCATGGTTTGGTTAAAACAGAAAGAGAAGGTTGGACATCAATCTGCAGGGTTCGAAATAATACCTGTCTACCTGTCGATTTCAGGTAATTTTAGGAAGTGACAGGTAAAAAATATTGATGCCTGTCGCTGGCGACAGGCAAGAAAAACCTCAATAATTCATAATTTATCAATTTGAATAATATTTCCATCCATTTTCCACCAGCATGCGTGCTCACTCGTTCAGTTCATCGGAGTTCTCGCACGGGACTCGCACGGTATATGCGGTAGTTACCAGACTCTACTCAATAAAAACGAGATGATGCAATCGTTGTAGTGCGCATGACGAGATAACAAATGCCATATGACTTGCTTTGCTTCTTCGTCGATCGAAACACTATAATCGGATAATGATATGGATTGCTTTCTGCTAAAGCGAAAAAGTGCTAACGAAGCGGAAGTGGAAGAAGTTCATGTAGAAGAGAATTTGGCAGCACCGACAACGAAACGTAATAATGTACGAGTATTCAAGTTCAATGAGAAATGGAAAGATGGCTAAAAAACCCAGGAGACTAGTGGATGCCTATGGGCACCAAAGGCCTAAACAGGCTGAGACAAAATAAACTGACATGTCATTGCTTCTATCATTTTATTACTAATATTGTCAATTGTAAAACCACAGTTCAATTTTGTTATCGCTAAAAAAAGGAAAATAAATGTTTAAATTATTGTTCAGCTTGGATGTTGGTGGAGACAGGTAAAAAAATATTCTACCTGTCACCAGACACAGGTAAAGAGTCTGGGAACATTTCGACCCCTGATCTGTTTTGTTGAGTCGATCCGTAATTTCGTGTTGACAGACAGAACTGGCAGCTTTTGTATTTTAGGGCGAAGGAAGAAGATTCGTAACCCTAGCCTGTAGCCACGTTCAACACGTACCAGAAAGTACACGGAGCTGATGCCATTAAGGCCGACTGTGGTTGCTGAAACTGGTTGCTGAACAATAACACGAGACGAAAATCGTTGTTTTACTGCGCTTATCGTTTCTTAAATTACAGACAAATTCTCCTCTCCATCACCATGGAAATTGTATGGAAGATGGTGTGGAGAATGTGCCTTTTGATATTTTCCTTTGTTGCCCTATATGAACAGGAAGGTTAAGAGGTGAAAATGAGGATGTTGATGATGTGGAAGACTATAGAAGTAGGCAGCCTTCGGAACCAGCTCTCTGGGATTTTCTGTCCACGAAATTCCCAGCAGTTAAAGGTTTGTTCCATTTGATGTGGTCGAAAAATATAAAACGGCAGGTTTTAAAATTGTCATTTTATGAAAGAATATAGATAAAAAGCTTGCGGTCATTATCTAGTGCGATTTGAAATCAATTTGAAAATTCTAAGCTGAAACTTTGTGTTTTATCTTTTATTTGGTAATCTTTTCTTGTGATTCTCATAAAGTGTTTTAGCAAGGTTTATGTTACACTTGTGTAGATCATAATAAAGATGTGACGTCATGAAACACAAGCTTGTGGTGTTACTGTGAAGTATTAACATTTTATGGTATCACTGCCTTGATCTACTTGTACAATATGGCGCCAACAGTGGAAACTTTGATCTTTCCTTTTTTCTCGCTTTTTTAGCGTTGAAGGTTTTTGGCGCTCCATTGTCTGGACAGTAGCTGTCATCCAATGAACGTACCAGAATTTTTTGACGTGTAGATTTAGAAAATATAATGTCTACATATTTTTTCAGTGCGATTTTAATGCAATGTGACTTTCTGTCATGGTCTCGAAAGGAGACGAATCTACATGAATTGACAATTGTTTTCGAAACGAAATGTTGTTATTTCTGTTGTTGACACCCTCCTCCTTAGTTCGTCACGATGCAACATTTGTCTTAACACCTTTACGTTACATAATCTTACAGATACAAAGAACGAAAAGCCTCTGAAGTCAATAGAGAATCAGAAGACTGATGAAGCACAGCAAGAAAGACCGCCCCCTAGACCACCACCTAAACCTGACAATGATTTCAAACCAAGACAGCAGAAGCAAGATCCTAGGGTGGAGAAAAGCGAGAATGCTTCTCCTCCGAGACAACAGCAAGGTGATGGACAGGGTGAATATGCCACTCCCAGAGCAGTGGAGAAACAAAGGCAAGAATCGTCAGCGCAACACAGAGATGGCAGACAACAGGGGAAGTCACAGAGGGAGCCGTATTATAAACAGCAGCAGAACGCTGGGCAGACAAAGGGGAAGGGTTCTAGAAGACATGATCATGATTCCAGACCATATAATCAGAGCTTACCACCAAGGCTGCAGAAGAAGCAACAACAGCAGCAGCAACAACGGCAGCATCATCAGCATTACCAGCATCATAATCAACATCAAACCGAGACAGAAGTCAGCAACGACGTGACAGAAACTAACGCTGTGAGCACGCCTTCCGTTGCCCAGGAAGATGATGCTATAATAACATTCAGTGCAACGTCTGCCCTTCGCCAAGCTGAGTATGCAGAAGAACCGCCAAGTCAAATGTCACAACAAGTGCAGTTTCAAGAACCTCAGGGTGTGCCATACAGTGGTCAGCAGTTTGCAGGGTCGGGAGGGCAGGGCAAGTGGCAAAGGAATACTGAGCATTATAGGCGGACTAGTTTTACCCCTCCCAACGTTCAGCAACAGCAGCAGCAACACTTGGAGTTCGTGAGCATGGCTATGGAGACCCAGCGTTCCCAAGCTGCACAGTTTGTGATGAGTCAAACACAACCGTACTTGGAACAGGGTGGGCAAGAGCAGGCGGATATGAACTTGGTGCAGGAATATCAATACGCACAGCAAACCCAACCTCCTGTTCAGGCTTACCCAGTGTATCAACTCCGTCCTGCTCAGTTGCCTCAGCAGCAGATGATGCCACAGCAGACCATTCCACAGCAACCAGTAGCTGCTCCTATGGCAGCAACACAGGTGTTTATTTTTCACTGTTTTCTATCAGAACCATGGTGTCTTTGAATAGCGTTAGCGTTAATGCTGGAATTAGCGCTCTCCATCAATTTACCGCCTCCATCCGAATCACCGCGCCCCTTTAGCCTATTACTATTTTAATTTAAATTTTACCCCTTTGAATAAGCGCCTCTCCCCTCCTTAAAACCCATTCTGACTGAAAATACGGTATGAAGTATGTTTGTCTTTATTGAATGTAGCATCACAAGTACGATCACTGGAGAATGACCCAAGTGAGGACATCGCACGGCCTATGTCACTGATGCTGTTCCTCTGACAATAATGCGTGAGACAGAGTTTAGTCACAACAGAATGCTCAGGGCTAAGAATATGCAACACACCAGCGCGAACACAAATTTTGGCTATATGCTGAAAGATACCTTCTAGTTTTCCTGTTTAAAGTTCCTGCTTTCGTTCATTTGAAACAAAGATAAATGCCATCTACACAGTAATTTTTAGGGAGTTATCATAACTCCAAAAATGGAGTAAAACTTTTAGTTACAGGATAACCTCTTTTTGGGGGTTACTTTAACTCCTAATTCAACTCCAAATTTGGGGTCATTTTTACTCCTGAAAAAGAGTTCTTTTTACTCCTTTTTGGAGTTAAAATAATTCCCCAAAAATAACTCCACTGTAGGAAGTTAAATTAGCCCCACTAGAAGAGTTATTATAACTCCTTGAAAATTACTGTGTAAAGGGCGAAATTCTGGGGAATGATATAAGCTCCCCCATTCAAATAATAGTAAGACCCCTCCCCTTTGATTTAACGCGACCCCTCACGAGTAAAATAATTAAATACCTGGACCTGGGCTTAAATAAGCAGTCCAACTCAGAGATTGTTTCTATTTATTTTCAGGTTGGTTGGAAGAAGGGAGATCACTGTTTGGCACTTTGGAGAGATGGGCAGGTAATTGACGTTTTCTTTCCATTGATTGCTGACCATATTCTCATGGAGGACCGCGATATTCGTGACCTTTAGTTTTGAAACGAGACTGAATCAGTACGAGGTCGAAATTTTGAGCCAACGGTATCTCCGGCATTCTTTAATACTCCTTGCTGTCACTAATTGTCACATAGAGAACTTGAGGGGTAGGACTAGTATTAATAACAAGTGATCATTTGTCACACGTGAACTTGGATTGAAAACTCGTACTTGATCTCGAAGACCTAGGGCTGGTTCCTCGAGAGTCCCGTTCTCTCTTAATGTTTTTAATCCTGTTATGTTGTGTTTGAATTATTTGTTTCTAAGTATTTGAGTGGAGTGCCTCTAAACTATCTGGATAAGCTAAGTGCACTCTTCACAATAAACAAGCCTTTAAACTTGTTTTATTTTGTTGTTGTTATTACGCACGGATGGAAATTTCAAAGTCAAAATCTCCAGGAAAACGGGCACGGTTGGTAGCTAACAAACCAGTCCTTTTTGTTTTATTAACTGATAGCTGTATCATGTCCTCTGCAAAGCTCTCTTAATATCTGGATATCGAATGTAAACACAGCAAACGTAAAGGAGATTTATGAGCCCAGTAGTTTCTGGCACTGTCGAAACAGCCCCTAATCAGATCTCGAAGATGGTTTTTTAGAATGTTGTAAACGAAGTAAATGGGGTGGGGTCCAAAGGACGAACATTTAACATCACGGAAGCAAGGAAAATTTGATTGAAGATTAAAAAGAACCTACGAAGCCGAGGTGATATGAAGGTGCCTTGGGGACGAGGCTTGTTATGAGTTGTTCGTAAGTAGGCTCTTTGAGGAACTTGGTCACGTGCTTGGATACCACTTAGCAACGACTCGGTGGATGGTAAGTCGTCCAAGTGTTCATTCAGATCTCAAAGCTTGTCGTGCGATCGGACGAGGCCTTCGTACGTTAATTCAAAGTTCTTTAATTACAGAAAGATTAGACTAGGATACATTTTTAACGGAATGCTTCGCTTGATCGCAATCGAAGCTTTGTGATGGGAATGAACGTTTGTAAGTTGTATCCTAGACTTGCCCAGAAGTCGAGCTCAAAATTTTCTCAAGCGCAAAGCGCGAGCTAGAAATTTGTTATGTTTTCGGTGGCAAAGCGAGAGAGAGAGCGCTGGGGCCTACTACCGGAACCGCAAACGAGAAGCGAAGGACTTTGAGAAAGTCGTAGTCGTATCCAAGCACATGACCAAATTCTGCAAAGTGCTCTTTGACAGGGTTACCGGTCGTTTCGATAAAAATTTATTCAGTCGACTTGTGAATTGTTTCACGTACTTGGCAAAATGTTTTTCTTGTTTATGCGCAAGCTTTTCTTGAAGTGACCGAAATCTTTGTGCAATTTCACTGCTTGAGTTTGTATCGAAACGACCGGTTTCCCTTGACAGTAATCAATGTATTGTCATATCTTGGTAGTATTACAGTGCTAAGATGGAGGACCTGATGCCAGACGGTGTCAGCTGTTTGGTATCTTTCTTGGATTTTCATAACAGCTGTGATGTTGTGCCTCTGTCGTCCTTGCGACCTTTTCCTATCATTGCCTGGGTAAGAGCTTAAAAAGTATTCTTTGAATGCGCATTTACATCACAGAAAGATTACGCCTATTACATTTTCGCAAGGAGCTGTATGCTGTATGCTGTTTGCGGTTACCAGAAACTATACCGATGTGTAGTGTTATCTTTGTGCAATACAATATGGTAATGCATTACAATCATTGTTTTATTCCCATTTACCAACAAACATACAAAGCTATCTATTTTGATACAAATTTACTCAGAGCAGACAAAGTGTGAGTTGTTCAAACTTTATAGGCTCATACCTGAAATTGGAACTGATTACTCTTTAGCTTTAGTTCCAGGATCACTGATAATAACTTTTTGTGTTAACTGATTTAGTTAAGTCTTTTGTTGTGAATTCTCGAGCAGGCTTAAGATTAAAAGGCGCGAATCGTGTGTTCTGATTGGCTTCCCAAGCGGGGTAGATAGGTCCATCATTTCCCGTGTTGGACGCGCAAGAAAAAGTTCTCCTCTTTGGCCATTTAATGGATCCTTTATTGACCAAATGATGGCTGGGTATTGGCCTTGGTCTTAATTGGCGTTTTTATTGACCTCGACTTTGTCTCGATCCATAATTGGTTGATATCCAGTCATCTTAACCTCACGTTTGTTCAGTAACGCATATGTCTTTTTCAGGGAGACAGTGGCAATTCACAGCCCCAACCAACAGGAGCTATTGCCACGGTACCTTACTATACACAAGCAACACCCGTCAACATCGTGTCCAGACCCCAGATGGTCATCCCCGTCAGTGGACAGCCTCCATTCCATGCTGGGACGAGACCAACGTTTGTTCACTCGGCCCAAGTCCCACCTCAAGTTCACTGGCAGCCTGCAACGATGCAGTACCAAGAAGTGCGGGCGGCAGCCTTCCAGCCTGTAATGCATTATGGGGCTGTGCCACAGGCATCCGCAGGGGGTCCTGGTCAGGCACCTTATGGAGTCCCTACCGGAGGTGGTATGCATTACGTCAGAGGCGTCAAGGATATCCAAGGACAAGGTGTGAGAGATTGAAACAGCAAACACAGATCATTTTATCTACAAAATAGGCACAATTATAGTAATGCCTTCAGATGTTTTTTGTGATGCTAGAGGCTACATACTGCTTATTCTCGAATTAGTGTCCTCCCTCAAATAAGTGCCTCATCTGAATTAGCTTCCCCGGCCCTTCTGAGGCTAAAAACATTGATTTAGCACCAACTTTGCTAACTCGTTTACCGTACCTTAGAGAGACTTCTCACTCACTCAGCTTAATACTGTAGCGGCACTTTTTGGTGACTGTCAATTATTCAGCTTTGCCCGCAGTCCAAATCTCCAGGGCCGGGTTTTTCGAAGCTGCGTTAAGATAATCCAGGATTAGTGCAAAATTTAAACTCAAATATGAGAGCTTAAAAAACAAGTTCAATTTATTTCTCTTTGCCTACAATTTGATGATTGGATAGTCTAAAAAGAATATAGAAAATTATCCGAGAGAGTGCTTTTGATAAAAGGAAAAACCTGGGTTAAAATTTAACCCCGGGTTAGCGCTAACCGGCGTTCGAACAACTGGGCCCAGGTTGCTATTAAGCATGCGCGGCCCTCATGTAACCAGCATTTGTTCGGCCTTCCACTAAAGATAAATGGAATGCAAAAAGCGCTCCCACTTCCGCGCATAAATTCGACCACAAACGCTTGCTACGCAGGCTATCATTAGCATACTTGGAATGTCTGTGTTGTATCGCTTTCTTACAGATGTGTACAGCAGTAACCCTGAAGGTGGAAGAGGAAGATCGAGTCCAACTTCAAGTGGTTATTCCAAACCAAGAAGACCAAACAGAGCAACCCAGAGTTATTACGTACCGCCAAGACAACAAAAATACAAAGACAAAGGATAGCAAATGGACCATGGTAATTGTTGTCCTCTTGTGCCAATAAATTATGTGTACCTTAGTTCCGGCAGGGCTAAAATACAGGTCACTTTTCCACAGGTCAGAGTACAAGTCACCACGATACAGATAAATGAACAGCATTAAACAGCATTACAAGTGTCTCCTGACACTTTTCTGTTAACAAAATGCTCTATTAGATCGAGGGGAATCTGTGTGGTTTGTTAATTTATCGATGGAGCAGTGACCTGTACTCTTGACCTGTGGAATGTGACTTGTACTTTAGACCTGCCACCTTAGTCCTGCTTATAGTAATCTGGCAAAGACGATACACCCCAACTGCTCCCGAAATGATATATATTTCTATATCATTTCTGCGTAGAAGGTTTACGCTTTTTGAATTCTAAAAACTAGATAAGCCCCTCTTTTAAACCCTGTCTACACTAGGGCGTTTTTGCTTGAAAACGCGTGCGTTGTAACTCGTTTTTGCTTTGCGCCCAAACTAAAACAGGCAATAATCGAAGTTTTCGAAAACAAATCTTTTTGAAAGCGGGGGGTTTTTGAAGACGTTCTCAAAGGGAGACGTTTGAAAACAGAGATGTATCGTTTTAGTTTGGACGAGTGAAATAGAAAGTTTTCAAAAATCCTAACGTTATAGCTACTGCACGACCCGTATTCGTCCATGACCAAGCATTACTACGGAGGAAACTGAAACCAACAAGTTCGTTAATAGCCAATCGTAAGTGGCAGGTGCCGGTTTCTTTTTGGTTAATTTTTATAGAGTACGCGAGGACGTTTTCGATGGCTTTTAAACGATGTGAAAACGCTTTTGTGGACGTATAGCGTTTGATGCGTTTCTGTTAATGCGAAAACGCTTTAGTTTGACGGGGCTTAAGTACATTATTTATATCAGGAAAGGTAGTATTTGTAGTATTTTATGTCCATAAGTCCCATTTCTTGGTTTTGCAGCGGAGCATCTCCTTAAAGAGAACAAAAGGGAAGGGGGGTGGGATGGTAGTTTCCCAGAATCCATACTGATCTTTTCTGGATTGGTACAAGATTCTTTGGTTTTTTAGAAAGAATGCAAATCTTTCGGTTGATCTTGAAGAAAACAGAACAAATTCTTTTAGAGTAAAAATATGAAAATATTTTGATTGTAAAAGTTTCGTTAAATGTTTCTTTATAAGAAGAACAAATTATGGTGGGAATTTACGACGTTTGAACGATATTTTGAAAATGTATTTTTGTCCTCCATTTTGTTGTTGTAAAGTTTGTCTCCGGCTTAGCGGATGAATACAAACTCCATTTGTATTTCAAACATTATTTTGCTCAAAAGTCGGTTATCAGAAGCCCTAAATTGTCCCTTTTTTGTTATGTTTGGCCTAACGTAGAATGTTGAATGTCTGCTTTTGTACAAATTAATTTAAGACTACTAGAACGTGCTTATCGTCTGGCAAGTGTTATCTTCTTTTAGTAGATACCTTACGAAACTACGACGGCAAAGGCAACATCAAAAAGCAATTGGTTTAGAGAGCAAAACAGCAACTCTGCACGTGCATCACGCTTTTCGTACATTTCTTTGCCGTCCGTGCACAACTACGATGTGAGGACGGGAACGGCAAGGCGATAAATTCTACCATCTCTGTCTGAACTCGGGTGCGGCCCCCTCTCTTCAGTTCCAACCTAAATTCCCTTCTTTTAAGTAACAGGGCGACTTGGGAAAACCGCGAAATGGTTTGAAAGAATGCGGAGTCCATTTGTCAGTGACGTTTTCATGGACGTCGCCGTCATCGGATCGTAAGGTCCCTAATGGCAAACCAAGCTATTGCGCCTTGTTCACTCTTTTTGCCTTAAGCTTTTCTCGTGTTATCCCAGGATCTTGTTTGGTTAATCGTCGAACTTCACATATGACACATGTATATGACGAACCCAATGCCAATGAGCAAAATCTATTGTTTTCGCTCATAAGCATTGGGTTATTGCTATTATAACCTTTACTTTAAGAGGGTGACACGAATTACTATGAAAAGTATTCTCCCTAATGGCCTTCTAAAAACAAAACTGATAATAATAAATTACAACAATTCATGCCATGAAAACTCTGACGATGGATTCTGACCTTAGTTACATAATTTTAGTCGCCTCATGATTAGTAGAGGAGACAGGTTATGAATACCCTGGGTGCCAGAGACTTTTCTAGCGCGGTTTCCTGTTTCTGTCAAGTCTTTATTGTGACCCGCGCGTTTTTTCGCGGCTTCGGCCTACGACCGAAGATGTGTCGGCCTTCAGCCAACACCGAAAATTCCCGTCGCACGCGAGAAAAACCTCTGGTACCCAGGGTAGGTTATGAAAGGTGGCAAACATCAAACAGGGAAACAAAGGTTTTGCAGCCCCTCGGAGATTGCGTAGTCCTTTTGGACCTTTCTCCCCTCGCAATTTCCGTTGCCCTTCGTGAGGGAGGCTGGGGGGCGTTTGGAGTTGGATAATTTCTGGAACTATACACATTTTTCTTTTGTCTGAGCAAAATGGTTGACTCACTGCTGAGCGCTTGTTTGCGTGGCTTATATAACAAACACACTTAACTCGGTTTCCGTCGGCGCAAGTCTCTATTTGAACCGAAGTGATTTAAGAGGAAATATTTCTAACTAGTTAAATATTTCTTCAGAAGTTAAATATTTATTGGTAAAAATTCTGACACGGTTGTTCTTCCATGTATGGAGATTTCAAAAGCTATCGAATACGCACCATTGAGTCAAATAGAAAGATTTTACAAAGAAAAACGAAGTTGATTAGAAAATGATTCCTGTATTCTACGTTCAGGAATCAAAACTTCCTGGCGAAATTTTATCGCTTTATTTATCACTCCTTATTGTTTGTTTTGTTTTTCGTCTGTAAAGAAAATAGATCAAGGGTATATACAAACTTTAATGCTCAAATGTTTTGTTTAAGGTACAATCAACCTCAGCCCGCTAATTTGTTGTTCAAGATTCAGTTCCCTCAGCGCGTCTCTCTTTAGGCCACTTCCGAGTTCCAGAAACCCTCACTTTCAAAATGAGGCCAAGTGCATAACCTTTCTCTTGAAAATGAGTTTTATTTGCATGAGGATGAAAATCATTTCCATATCAAACACTGACCACTAACACTAACTTCGTTTTGATACAGAGAGCCCGGGGGAACTCGGGAGTGGCCAATTACAACCGATGATTATTATGTGAAAGGGTTAGACTAAAAAAATACATTGCAAAAACTGGCTTTTTTCAACTGAGTTGACAGAGTCAGTTTGCCTCCGTTTAATTGTCTGTTCAATCGCGGGTTTAAATAATTTAATGTTATTTTCGCAGTATAGGTCTCTAGAACAACCTGTTAAGTGGTTATCTATGTTATGCATATTATGATTGTCATTTGTGAGTTCGTTGATTTCTGTTTCTGTTTACGTCAGTACGATGGGAGAAGGAAAGAAAGTCTCTTTTCAAAACCTTTCTTGGTTCTTCTATTGATGAATTTGCCAGAGGTCACCTGATTTGTTTTTAGTTCAGGGCCATTCAACTTTAATATAATACATTATTAGATCTAAATACAATAGTTTATAATTACTTTTCTTGAAAAATGTTTACTGATATTTTCAATTATTTCCTTTTTTTTTCAAATTAATGTTCCTTTTTTCTCGTTATTTTTGTCTTGTTTCAGTAAAAGCTACGTAGTTACTGTGGGAGTCTTTCCTCTGTATTTAGATTTATATTTATTCTCCGTAAAATTAATAGCAATAGTAATAATAATAGTAATAGTATAAAAATAAAGCAACATTTTATTGTTGAAACTTTAAAAAATGTGATTACTTAAATCAACTTGAGCCCTTCTTTTAAGCAACTCTTATTTTTACAGCTTAGACAATTTTTATTGCTTTTTAATGAATTTGTATACTTTGCGGAAACTTATTTAAGCAATTCTACTGATTAAAGCTCTCGCAAATTTCACCACGTTTATTGACCATCAGGTCAATAAACGGGTATGGATATTCAAAACTTGATGTATATGAAAGGATAGGAAAATCTGTCATTTAGAACTTGTCTGGCCATTGCGAGAGCTGAATAAACGTAATGTTTTTCGGTTAACATCTTTTCCGGTAAGTCTTGTTGCTTGCTCTATCATTTACTAACGCCAATTCAAGGAATCACAAGCGGGCCGGAATCCTAATCTCCTGGCTGTTATTACGCATGCGTCGCATGTATGTAACTGTTGTGGTTTAATTTTATCCTTGATTTAAATTTTATTTTCTTTTGTTTTGGGGTATGTTAATGTATGACAATGAGATTGAAACAAAGAAAAATAAAATTAAACCAAGGATAAAACAAACCACAACATAACCAGCATTCATTTGGAGTTCCACTAACAATGAATGGAATGCACAGAAAAGAATCTGATCACGCGCGTTTTAGCCTGCGTTACAGCTGGCCCACGCACTCGTCTAAACAGTTTGTATAGCTCTAAATAGAACGTTTAGAGACGGACCATTAGAAAACTTTTGGTGGGGGGACGGGCGAAGTACAAAAAATAATCGCGCAACGGAAAATTAAATGAAAAAAATTCTTGCACGCTAGTTAACCCTAAAAAATATTCATGCTATGGTCTAAAAAAAATTCATGCAAGGAATTTGATAACGAAAAAAAATTCCTGCGGCTCGAAAATTCCCCTCCCCCCCCCCCCCCATAACTTTTCTAATGGTCCGTCCCTTAGAGCGTCTGCGACGCAGGCTAGCGCGTTTGGACCTTCCATTAATCGTAACATTTTGATCTTCTATCACGTGAAGCCCCCGCGTAATTAACGTTTTGACCTTTGAACAGCCAGAAAGTCTCCCGCGCTACCTAACCTTTGGTTATTACAAATACGTTATATCAAAGGGGTACCATGCATTTTTAAATAGAAGGCATACGAAAAGAGAGCAGGATAAGGGGTTAGCAAAGCCTCCAAGTTTGAAACCATGATGAGTGCACCCCTCGCCCTTCCCTCATCCCCAGTGTAATAAAACGGAGAGCTTTTCTGTCAAAATGGTATAGATATATCTAGCCGGAGTTTTGAAAACTATACCGCCAAGTGGAGCTTTTGCGTCCAACAGTTTTTTTCGGCCAAAAAAAATCTCCAAGGTAGCCATTATAAAAACTTAGAGTGCAAACACTGCTTTTTTCTTTTCTCCTCCTTTCTTCCTCCTCGCTCTTTCTTGTTCTCCTTTCCTTTTCCTTCGTTAGTGTGATTTTGGAGCTTATCACGCCCAAGAAACCTGCCTTTTGACGCCTTTTCGCCCAAATGACGGCAAATTTCGTTATGTTGGTTTTCAAAAAATCAGCTGGGTATAGATTCTACAAAAAGTAGTCAGATTCTAATTTTTCCAGAACAAGATTAAACGAACTCTTTTTCCGTTGGGCCAATAAACTGTTTATTTAGTATTACCTTGTTTTAGTATGGTCTCACTTGTAACCATGCCGCTTTTTCATTCTTTGATGAATCTAAGAAGGGTCGTATCTTCTGGATAATTAGCCAACTTCATGGCCAAAGCTTTATCAAGACTTAAACAGACAGGAGCAGTCCCCACGAAATTTCCGTTTTCATCCAACAAACTAACATTTCATTTCAGAATATTTCCCAAAAAACCGTGAGTTTGGGAGGCTTGTCGTGAGGCGCGTTGGCAGATTTGCAGAAAGCCACCCTATGACAAGCATTATCCTAGCATTTTAATGACTGTTTTTGGGGGCGGGGATGACCGAGCATTTTAGTGGGAAAAATGAAGAATTTTGGTGGGAATTCAAAAGTATAATGTACAAAAGCTTTCCCAATCAAAACTTAAACACTAGCAGCGGAGATAGAC